GTGCGGTTTCAGTTTGCTTCGCTTCGGTACGGTTTTGGTTTGGTTTGAGTCATTTTGATTAGATTCGGGATACGGTTCGGTTTAGTTCAGTTCATTTCGCTTCAGTACGGTTTGATTCGCTTTGGTTTGACTCATTTTGATTCGTAATGGTTCGTTTTGGTTTGAGTCATTTTTGATTCATTATAGTTCGTTTTGGTTTGACTCATTTCGATTCGTTATGGTTCGCTTTGGTTGGCTCGTTTCACTTCGCTTTTGAGATTGGTAGATCAGGTCAATGCTCAAAAATTTGTTGTGATACAAATAACTCAGATGATCAGGCTGATGCCATTTGTTCCCAACTGGCGAAACTGGTGACCCATAGTGAAAAGACTGGACACATGTAAACATAATGATATACAGCTAAGAGCTGTTTAGTGATTTGCACTGTTTATTTAGGAGATTTTGTATTTTGCACAAGAATATTTTCATTCGGCATCTACAGGTGTATATGGGGAGTTGATCCTGGTATGGTTGATGGGGACGACAGTCTGGGGTTGTAACACGGTAGTAAAAGGTGTTGATGTTTCCAAAGTCTTTATCTAGAAAAATAACCCTTTTGGATTTATAAATTGGTAGTTCATCTGGATCATATGGAGGATTATCTTCTCCACAGGACCACTTACAGAGATCCTTCCAGCTATCATCAAGATAGCGCTGTATGAGGTGGGGAGGAACACTTTCAAAATAGCGTGTGTGGTAATCATGATCATCTTTGTTGTTGGTATATGAGATCTTGACATAACAGTCAATTTATTAAATGACCCTCTACTTTTCGTAGGTGTTTGGAATAAACGGATATGGTTTGACATCTAATTCTTTGCATGGTTTGGTGTTGTCTTGCTCGACTTTCCCTGACATTCTATTCCCTGACAGAACATTGACTGATTTATTGTCTTGTGCTGATTCCTTATGGTCGAAAAACGTATGATTCTTCAGTGGACGTTTTCGTCGTTTTCCTGACATACTTCTTTTGAGGTGAAATTCTCTCCTCTTTCTGGATCCTTCCATTTCACTCTGTAGTAGATTTTGCCATTTGCTCTCTTAGAACTTACAATTGAGTGGATGTCCTCTGGATTGAAAATAGGAGGGATATCCTTGTTTTGATTACCTGATGTTGGACTCTGACTTGGAGGTTTTACCTGGCTGTCGTCAAGTTGTTTTCTGGATTTTGGCTGGTGATCCTTACCATTCACTCCTCTTTTCCCTTTGTTTACCTTTTCATTTACCTATAATTAAATTTTCGTTGTGTTCATGGAAATTCCTGCATTCTGATTAGCTGATTTGGTCACGTGTTATTGCATTAATTTCCCAATGAATGTAAAAAATTAAGCCACGCCCACCGCGGCGCACTACTTTTATTGCTGTGGAATGTTGGGGAATCACAATATTACAGTCGAGGGAATTCCCTTTCTGCTCACGTGTATCGTCATGCACAGGACATTTAGCGACTTTCATGCATATTCATTGTCCAAACTACCCTTGGAAACCAAAGGCCGAGAATGAATGAAACAGCAAACGTGCAGGCTCGCTCGCCTGTTTTTTTCCCGCTCGCCTCGGTTCAACTTTCATGTCTTCGGGTTTCATTTCTAACTAGCATTTCTCCAACTGTGTTTTACCGTAATCAGGGAAGTAATGTTTGAATCACGCAGTAAATAACCATGTTATTTGAAACAGCCGCCTTCTCTCTGACATATTTCTTCCGGTTCGTTACAGTCTGACTGTTGCAGTTCTTTTCGCCTCTTGCCTTAATTGACAGGTCCAATGAACATTGTTTTAATCCCACTCTCCGTTGATTGGCTACTGACTGTGTAGGCGTGTCAAGTTATGTGCATAAATTAAACGATCACCAGATTCATGTCACGCCACTGTATGTATTCCTACACCTGGAATGTTTATCAATGTCGTCATTTTTGTCTGTTTTGATATATGCAACTGTTTTGGGTTAAACTATTGTAGATAAAACATGTTTTATGTTGTCGAATTTAATTATAAGCATTGACTGTATATTCTTTTCAGTTCATTGAGGTATGAATCGAAAAACCGATGTGCAAACTTTTGTAAGAATCGGATTGCACATCGGATTTTCGATTCATATCTCAATGAACCGAAAAAAATACACAGTCAATCCTTGATTGTTGGAGCATGATTTCCCTTTGTAATTGTCGTGCTGGAACTTCTTTTTTTCTGTTGTATTTGGAGCAGGGTTTTTCTTCTTTGTTGGGGTCTTTTGCTTCGAATTCTTGTTGCTGGAAGTGCCTGCCTTAGTTTTGGAATTGACCTTGTTACCTTTCTGTTGTGGAGGTGATTGATCAGTGGCTTGGTAAGTTGAACTTGTTGATAGGGAATTGTTGCTGTCAAGTTGAGTATCATTGACTGGTTCCTCATTGTCATCCATGACTCCTGAATCTATGTTACTTGTGTCATTGAGGTATGGTTCTGGAGGATACTGTGGATGATCAGCAGGATCAAAATATGGCTTCAGACAGTTGGCATGGACCAGTGGTTTGTGTATTTTGTCGTCAGAACTTCGGCGTAGTTTGTAGGTATAATTTGTACCTGTATGGATGATATAATAGCTACCATACCACTTTTTGGTTAATTTGTTGGAAAGGCCTTTTTCAACTTTTTGACAGTAAAGCCAAACTCTTTTACCTGGGGTGAATTCTGGTTCTTTAGCCTTTCGATTATATTGTTCTGAATACACCTCCTTAGCCCACGCAGTGTTTTCAGCTGCAATTGTTCTAGTAATTTCCAGCTCCTCAAGTAAATTTGAAAGATAACTTTTGTTATTGTGGCCTAAATTTTCTTTTGGAATTAATGCTACATCTTGTGGAGCTCTCATTTCTCGGCCAAAAAGCATAATGTATGGGGATTTTTGCGTTAATGAATTTGGGGCCATCCAATAGGCCATCAATGCATGATGCCAGGAATAAAACGGGGCCAATCATTTTGAGACTTGTTACAATAGGCTTCTTAGTGATTGATTGATGTAAGAATTGAGCCTTTCTACACAGCTGTTTGTTTGAGGATGGTATGGGCTGGTATGGGTAAATTTAATTGCCAAAAGTTCACAAATTGCTTTGATAAGTTTGGACATGAAGTTCTGACCTCTGTCTGAAATTAAGGTCCTTGGAGCGCCATACCGACAAAATATTTCTCTGACAAGAACATCTGCTTCTTCTTTAGCTTCTTGGATCCGAAGTGGAAAGGCTTCACACCATCTAGATGATGCATCTGTGATGACCAAAATATACTTGTACTTGTCTGGTGTTGTTGGCAGGGGACCGAGAATGTCAACGTGCCATCGGGTGAAGACCTCTTCTCTCCTGTGACTCCGGCTTTTTGCTGACTAATTCCCCCAAGAAAACCAGCACGCCATTTGGAAGGTTTTGTTCATCCGAACGGAAACATAAACATACCATAATATAAGCATTTGGCATCACCACCACTAAAGTAGGCAAAGACTCTCCCACCAGCTGGAGGTATTGCCTCTGTGTTATGGGATGCCAATGGAGGACTATCTTCTAAACGATTAGACAATATGCAAAGCATATTATGCGGGATGAAATTAAGACTAGGAGATGTGGGAAACTGAGAAAAGGTGTGCTCTTCCATCGGGACAGTGCTCCCTTGCACACATCATTGGAACAATTCATGAGTGTGGTTTTCACCTCCTTCAGCAGCCAACTTCTTCTCCTGATCTGGCTTACATCTGTTCCCCAAAATGAAGAAACCTCTAGCCTGGAACCCATGTTGACTTGACGATGTTATAGCAGTTAAGGAGAACGTTTTGGACAGCTAAAACAATGACTTCAACGAAACTAGGATAAAGTCACTCCAACATTTTTGTCAAATCTGTATCAATGAGGAAGGGGATTATCTTAAAAATAATTTTTGTTAATGTCTTTAGGTGAAGTCTTTCTATGTGAGGCTCAGAACTTATCAATCACCCCTTGTCCATGTTTCTGGAGGAAAGTTTGAGGGCATTCAGAAAAAAGGAGGAATGGAGCTTCTTGTTTTCCATGCAATGCAAACACCTTTGTACTTGGAATTTTAGAATACTGTTGTGATCAAACTGAAATGTTGTGTAGATGAGGCTAGTAAGAGTTACTTTTTAGCACAACCATCTGCGGCCATAGTTGACAACATTGCTGACATAAGATATCTTACATCATAGAATCTGCTTCAACAAATTTATTTGTGTTACCATATAATAAAAATAGAATATTACGCTAAGGTTGTTCTTTCTTCTCACATTACACAAACACATGATGGCTAAAGATTTCACTACATATAAAATTCAGCTCACATCGATTATACATCGTGTGCACAGTGCCTTGGTGCTGTTGTTGTCCAAATCTGGACCGCCTCCGTGGTCTAGTGGTAGAGCATCCGCCCGGAGAGCGGAAGGTCCGGTGTTCCATCCCCGGCCGCGTCATACCAAAAGACGTTAAAAGATGGTACTTGTTACCCTGTCTGGCGCTCGGCATTAAGGGGTTAAAGCAAGGACTGGTCGGCTCGGAGTCAGTATACTGTGTCTGAGTGGGGTATTCATGTTAAACTGCGGCATGGTATCTCAGTGGGCTAGCACTATAAATCGGCATCAGTCCGGTCTAGTACAAGCAGCCACACACACACACACGTGCATGTATGTCGCTATATAAGTGCAATAATCTTGGACGCGACGTTAAACCCAATTTCACCTCACCTCACCTTGTCCAAATCTTTTACACCTAATGTGCCACAACACTAACTAGGCTGAGATGAAGTCAGACTGAAGTGCATGTATCTAAATCATTTGATGTGAGAACAATGGTGCCACCTATGATTTACTATACAATAGATAGTGCTGTGTGTGGTTAGATCATAAAGGTGAAAGGAATTTAGGGTATTAAATGGAGACTATGTTTCCTGTCTCTATGCTTTGTTATGCATGCTTATAGTATTATTTTATTTTGTAGGCTCTTCTTGGAATCCCTTGAAGCTGAACTTGTGTTCATGGCCAGGAAATTGTTAAGTACCTTGAAGGTATTATAATTTATTGATAATTTTTGTTAAATTGATTGTTATGCAGTATACATTTTCTCAAGCTGTGCACTGGGTTTCTTATTCTTAGTATTTGCTTAGTATTTGTTTTTTTGCCACTGAAGCAAGAAAAAAATGATTATGGATGCTATTCACTGTGAGTGAGATAAAACAAGAAAATATTGGACATGACCTTAAGGCATGTTCATGATTAAACAAATCTTCTAGCATTTTAGCTCACTCGGAATGAAGGCCATACACAAGTAAGTATATGGCATTGAGTGTTGTCTGATTGTCTGTCTGTTGTCTATACATTTATTGCCCCCCGCCGCGCGAAAGCGCGAAGCGGGGGATATAGTATTCACGACTGTCCGTACGTCCGTCCGTCCGTACGTCCCACCTGTTTGTTGCCGCGATATCTCAAGAACTAAACACTGGATTGTCTTCATATTTGGAACTATGGTGTATATACAAATTCCGCAGACACCAGTTGGTTTTGGTGACCTTGACCCCATTTTCAAGGTCACAGCAGGCAAATCTGCTTTTGGAGTTGGAAAACGGTGTTGCCGCGATATCTCAAGAACTAAACACTGGATTGTCTTCATATTTGGAACTATGGTGTATATACAGACTCCGCAGACACCAGTCGGTTTTGGTGACCTTGATCCCATTTTCAAGGTCACAGCAGGCAAATCTGCTTTTGGAGTTGGAAAACAGTGTTGCAGCGATATCTCAAGAACTAAACACTGGATTGTCTTCATATTTGGAATTATGGTGTATATACAGACACCGCAGACACCAGTCGGTTTTGGTGACCTTGATCCCATTTTCAAGGTCACAGCAGGCAAATCTGCTTTTGGAGTTGGAAAACAGTGTTGCAGCGATATCTCAAGAACTAAACACTGGATTGTTTTCATATTTGGAACTATGGTGTATATACAGACTCCGCAGACACCAGTCGGTTTTGGTGACCTTGACCCCATTTTCAAGGTCACAGCAGGCAAATCTGTTTTTGGAGTTGGAAAACGGTGTTGCAGCAATATCTCTAGAACTAATCGCTGGATTGTCTTCATATTTGGTACTATGGTGTATATACAGGCGGGGGACATTTCGTCACTTTGTGACAAATACTTGTTGTCTCTTCATCCGCCGGTTCACTTTCATCTCTTCTTCAAACCGGCTAAAGTGATGAGACTGAAACTTCAGGAGGATGTTTAACACAAGAGTGAGTGAGTGAGTGAGTTGGGTTTAACGCCGCTTTTAACAGTATTCCAGTCATATCGCGGCGTGTCAGCTTAATGTGGGAGGAAAGCCCGAAGTGATACAGGTCTCAGATGTTTACCACTTCGTTGAAACCCACGAGCACGGGTATGGTGCTGACAAACCTAGAAACATAATTGGGGCGAACCAGGATTCGAACCCACAATCATAGGTTTCTGGCGTGCCCAAGGGACGCAACTCTGCACAGCGAATCGCGGCGCCTTAGACGACTGGGCCACCCGTGCCCCCGTTTAGCACAAGAAGAAAAAACATTTCATTTTTTCCTCACTGACTGAAAGTTAGCTATAGTGTGGCCTGTTGTTTGCCCATTGTGCATTGCCTGTTGTCCAATGTAAAACATCTTCCTCTTTGAAATCACTGCACCACTGAATCAGAATCTTCACCTGCTTTTTCCAACTAATGAGATCCAAATTTGTTTAAGAGGTCCAAATCTCATTTTTATTGATGCCATTATTCAAGATTTTTTGCTAGCTAGTTGTGGGATTCAAAACACATTCAATATTGGCAATGTTTTTAATTTTAACCACCTTCTGACTATGCTCTTATATTCTCTCAAAATGCATATTTTGTTCCTCTGAAATTGCCAGAGGGAGATCAACTTTAGAGTGTATGTCTCTCCTTATGGTAACATCATATTTTGTCCAAGTTATTAGATTTTAATGTTAGTGTTTCGTCCTCTGCATTTATGAAGAAAATATATGAATATCAATATTGACAACAACTTTGGTTAAGTGTCTGTCTTTGTTGTAATTCACATTATAAGCTGTTGACTACATATCCAGGTGAGCTGAAGTGCTGTGGCACTATTGGCTCTTGTTTAAATAGTACAAATATATCATGAACAATCTTTAAGAATGTTTTCAGACACGTGAAGGTCACAATGTATAGCAACACCATGGGCTTTTGATGCAAGTAATATATTTTACTAGTATGCTTATTGATGCTTATTTAAGAAAAAGAAAAAATAATATGTTTAAGCATAAACCTTCTTAATCTAAAAGGTAAAGATATTTTTATTTGATATTCTGCCAGGAAATGTGTTACATAGACCCATGTAAATGGGGATACATTAAGGTTTTGCCTGTATTGGATATCAGCCCACTTTTATTTAAGGTAGTTCTGCTTCTTTGTGTAGTGAATAATACCCTCAGTTTGTGTGAGAGTTTACAAGAGTTGACAGTCATGTTTTCAACTGGAAATAATCAAGTTTATAAGTGCCTTAAGTTTAATATCATGGTCATTAAACCAGAAGTGTATACTATGTTTTGTTAATATTGCCAGAGCCATGGGACTTTATAAAGTTGTCTTGCATTAGACATATGCTTTCGAAAGCAGGAACTCATATGATTAAACATATAAGGTCGTCAAAGGTCAAATAATAAACCATGTTTCAAATGTCAGGAATACTTTGACTTTAATAATAAGATTTAGATCAAGCATAGTAATGAGAGAAATTGCAATGAAACATTAGTACTATTTGGCCTTTTCTTTAGTCTTTCGGACATTTGAAACAGTTTTTACTGACCTTTAGTGATCTTAAACTGGGATGATGTCAGATAAAAAATTCTAGTTAATTTATTCTATCTCAGTCTATGCATTCCTCCTTCTTCTTTCGATCTCTTGCGTGGAAACGTCCTTGATAAAAGTTTCTAGCTTCTAAGCTTAATTTGCAAAGCCACCCATGCATCACCATGATGACCACCCCAGTATCTAGGTCGTGCACCCGGATCTCGTGCAGCACATTGTCCTCGATCTGGACTCTGGACTGTCTCATCGTTCTCTTTCTTTTCGCCTCCCTGTGGAGATGTACTGTTGTTTTTAGAGAATATTTAGGCCTTTATTTTTCTCAAAATAACAAGAGTTTGGGGGCTTTAATTGCATATAAATATTGGTAAGGACAAAGCAAAACGTCCAGCCTGCATGAAGTGCCACCACATATTTTCGCCGGTGGATCCTCATAAATTGTGCTGTGATTGCTGTGGAGTCTGTCAACCGGGCTTACAGTGTTCTGAATGCTCATCGCTAAGAACCAACTTCCTGGTCAACCAGACAGGCTATTCACCATCCCAGCTTTGGCTTCGATTCTACATCACGAGGATCGCGAGGACATATCGCTATTTCCAGTTAGAGCTCTACGCATAAACTTGCAAGCCACATCCCCATCTCTCAGATGGTTACCTCAGAGGTCTCCCGTACAGCGGATTTGGTTATGATCTACAATACTTGGTGCCTGTAACTTTGCGGGATTGCCTCCACCCCAGTCATAAAATCCTCACGAGAGGAGAGCTGTTGCATCTATCATGGCTCTACATAGCCACTGTTCCCTCGGTGCTATCATGGAAGGATGTTTCTGGAAGTCTGACGAGGTCCTCGCCTCCCTACACTTACAAGATATCTCCGTAATCGATGTCCAAGGGCTTCCCCATTTCGGTCTGCTAGTCCTGGCTCAACATTTAAGGACAGCCTTTTAACACAGGTAAATTGCGAGTACACTCACTGCAGTCACGCAATAGTATCGTGTACAGCATGAATAAATAATTGAGAGCCACTCCCTTTTGTTTATTTTTATTATTCGGGTTCCCAGAATGAGGCTTCAATGAAGTGGCACAAAAAACATATAAATATGGGTAAGGACAAAGCCAAACGTCCAGCCTGCGTGAAGTGCCGCCATCTATACTGAACCGCAAAAGAAACGTCACCCCAAGTAACATTGCATAAAAACTTGTTATTTAAATGTCTGGGTAATTTTTGTCAAAGTTTCTAAAATTTAATATTGCCTTGTTCGGAAAAATGAAATTTGATGATAAAAAAACCTAAGCTGATGACAATAAAACCCATCACCCACACGCATCACGGCAAAGGCCATGGTAACCCGATGTACGTGAGTTCCGTGCAAATTGAAATTCACATGCATTACCCCATTTCTTGCCCTATAAAAATCCACCCAGATCGGACAACATTCATTCGTTATTGAATTGCTACCACATGCCAAGACTGACAAAAAATCAGCGACACCAAGCCCTTGGATGATTGCAAGCTGGACAACCCGCCGGCAAGTAGCCAATACATTTCAATTCCACGTAAGGACCATATACAGGCTCCAGCAACCATACCAGACCACCAACACCACAGATGACCGACCACGTAGTGGAAGACCAAGGGTCACCACCCGACGTCAGGATCGTCAGATTGTGCGACAGCATCTTCAAGATCGCTTTGTTACTGCTGCAGAAACTGTTCGACAGACCAAGGGGACACACCAGCGACACGTTAGTGCGGACACTGTGCATCGACGATTGACAAGCAGACACCTCCACTGTCACAGGCCACACCAAGGACCCATTCTGACACCACGTCATGGCCGGGATCGTCTTCAGTGGGCAACACAGCACCAGCATTGGTGCCACCAGCAGTGCAGAAGAGTCCTCTTCTCAGACGAGAGGGGCTACTGTATCTCAACACCTGATGGCAGTGAGTCTGGCGACGCCTTGGGGAACGTTATTCGGATATTTGTGTTGTTGAGAGAGACTCTTGGGGTGGTCCGAGCATCATGTTGTGGGGTGGAATTGGTCTTGCACAGAAGATCGGCCCTGTGGTCTTCAAGATCATAGGTCCCGGGAGGGGCAATGGTGTCACAGCAGCTCGGTACATTGATCAAATCTTGAGACCACACGCCATACCTCATTTGGCACGTTGCCACAATCATAAGTTTCAGCATGATAACGCCAGTGCCCACACTGTGAGAGCAACAAGAGACTTCCTCCAACAGAATGGCATCAGAACCATGCAGTGGCCTGCCCTCAGTTCCGATTTAAATCCCATTGAGCACCTGTGGGACGAGATTCAAAGACGGCTGAATGACGTCCGACCAAGGCCGACAACTGCAGCTGAACTGCGGCAGGCGTTCCTCAGTGTGTGGGCTCAAGTGCCTTTGGCCTTCATCAACCGCCTCATCCATTCCATGTATCGACGTTGCACAGCAGTCATCAATGCAAATGGCAGATACTGCCTTGTGATGCCATTTTCTCAGAGACTAAGAGACTACTTTAAGAACATTTGACACTTTAATTTCAAACTTGATGATCAGTTTTGCCAAGTTTCATCTTTTTGATATGTCTCAAAGTATGTTTACAGTGTTTGGACAAATATGGTTTCTCATATATCTATCCATGGTGACTTTTCTTTTGCAGTTCAGTATATTTACGTCAGTGGATCCCCATAAATTATGTTTCGATTGTCGTGGAATCTGTCAACTGGGTTTACAGTGTTTGGAATGCTGTCATTTGTCACAAGAGGTATTTACAGACTATTTTAAAAGATGCCAGAAGAGAGGGATTGATCTCCGATCTAAATCCACGGATACCGAACATGGACACTCTGCGTCTAAGAAACCTAAGTGTGCACTCATCCAACTGTGAAATCTGTGGTAAACCAACCACCATCAGCCAGGATTACTTCCCTGTGAGTGAAAGAAGATACCGTTTCCGACAGTTTTCTGCACGATGAAGTTCCCGCTGGTACTTCACAGTCTAACAGCAATCCACCGATTACAACAAACTCAGTCACCAAATACGTCGGACAAACGTTTCGTGCTGGCAGAAAATTTTGACTAGTCTACTGAGATATGTTCTCAGACCCGATGTACAGGAAGTCATGTATCGACTTCAGAGATTACAGCGCGATTCTCCATTGACTAGCCATACCTCTACTCTGATGGACCAAGCCATTCCGGAATTATATGCTGCGACTACTCTTGACTCCAACAGAAACCAGGCTTCGACATCACCTACCAGTCAGAGAAAGAGTAGAGAGCGGTCTCGACCCAAGGACATTCACCGAGATATGGGTCAACATTCAGAGTCAACTTCAAAGGGTCGACATTCTACAGAGAAAACGACATCGAACCACGATCGACCCTCCAATGGTCGACATTCAGAATTGACTTCAAAGGGTCGACATGCTACACACCACGATCAAACCAGACACGGATGTGTGACAGTCCCAGGATTAAAGCATGTCATCACCAGCTTCCTCATATACATCTCATGGCTACAGACGAATACAGACCAGGGTAATCTGCAACCATGGGATAAATGTAGAGAGTGAGATAAGATAAGTTTTAACATTTGTAAATTTTACAATAAATTGTATATTTATAATACTTATCCCATCTCACTTGATCGATGCCTGCCCATCCGACCCTGCATCCGACCCTGCATCACAGTTGCTCAAGCCTGTCAGTTCCAAGAAAGAGAATGATGAGACAGTCAATGGTCCAGATCGAGGACAACGTGCTGCACGAGATCCAGGTGCTTGACCTAGATATTTGGGTGGTCGTCATGGTGATGCATGGGTGACTGGGCAAATAAACCTTAGAAGCTGGAAACTTTGATCAAGGACGTTTCCACGCATGGGATCGAAAGAAGGAGGAATGCATTGAGTGAGACAGGATAAGTATTTAATATACAATTTATTGTAAAATTTATTGTAAAATTTACAAAATTTACAAAATTTGGTCTCTCTCTTTACTCTTCTGTTTCAGGCGTGGACTATAAAGATGATGGGTATGGAAGATGAAGGTAAATTTAAGTTGACCTCTTATGACAAAATCTGTAAAAATTACACAAAATACAAATAGTAGTCACTTTCATATCTGGACCCATTGTCCATAATAGCCCTGTTTTTTAAACTGATTCAACTTACAAATTAAAATTACATTCATACACAACATAAGAGGGACTGAGATGGTGACATCACTTCCAAAATGAAGCTTTTGTGGTGAATGGGTCTAAGGTATTTGTCCTAATAGAATGAAGATAGAAAGCACTTGATAACTGAGGATGATTGCTAACACCAGAGACCATATAATCTATTATATGGTCTCTGCTAACACATTTTGTCACTAAATATCCATATGTAAAAACTGCTCCTAGGTTTTGGCAGAATTTGGCTGTTGCCACCACTGTTGATTTTTCTACTTCACCAAGTTTATTGACATGTGACATTATTAACCTCTAGCCTGCTGAATTGTTTTCACACTTCTTCCCCCTGCTGGATTATTTTTAGCGCTGGGTTGGTGATTTCAAACAGTCAGTGCTTCATAAGACATGGGCCACTTGAAGAAGACTTTTTACACATTTATTCCTGATAGAAAACTACACATTAATATATGAAAATATCCTGATATTTTCAATCATACCAAGGTAAAGACCATAGCGAAAACAAAATTTGTAAATTTTCTTGAACTTGCCTGAATTATGTTATTGAAGATGGTTTGTGTTTCATGCTAGGAACCTTTATAAATCGCTACAAATATTTTGTATCGTCTCAAAGTTGTCACATGCTATCGAAAACCATGCGCCGACCCTTTGCATATACGAGTATGCAAATAACATTAATCAACGATTAAATTAACTGGTGCTGGTGTGGCGTGATAAATGTTATTTGCATACTTGAAAAATGCAAAGGGTGGCGCATGGTTCTCGGTAGGAAGTGACAACTTTGAGACGATGGCTTGCGGCATATACAATTTTACATACAATGTAAATACATACAACACACTAGGTGCTAGGCCCGCCAGGCCCTTTAGTCTTTGGTCAAAAAGGGTATCTCTGGACCAAGGCTTATATAGGTCACCTGACATTTAGTAAGTCATAAATATAAACAACAGTAATTCATCAGTGACATACTTGCACATCTCTTTCATGATGGCAGACAGTCGATGTACAGTAAAATGGGGATTAACAATTGGGATTAGCATCTTATAAATAACGTCAATTAGGCATACAGATGTCATGGCTCCAGGGTATTTAGCCTTTGGAATTATATGTTCATTCGTACAATGGTTGTCGTAAATCAGTCTCTATGACACATTGATGAAAAGCTGAGATTGGCCTGCTTCAGTTTTTGTATGTGGTGCAGATATTTTGACCAATCAGCTATGATAGACTGTAAGTTACCAACTCAGTCCCTGTCACCCTGAGCCCCCTGGCCAAACATGGGTCATGTGATTAATGAGATTAACCTTGCGTGTGAACTGTCAAAGCTTATAAGCAAATGTAGACCAGGAATTCAATGATATGGCATGGGGTGATATGAATTGCTATCTTCACAACTTTATTTAAACTGCGTAACGTCCATAAAATCCAAAGCAGTTAGTTCCAAACAAGAATATTTGATTTGATTTGATCATCTTGCATCGTGTCTCTTGTCTTGTACAAATCTACATTTATACATTTATGTACATGCATATACTGATGTAGTGGTTTGATGAATACCACTTTGACACTGGCTACATCACAGTTGATGTATGTACATGACCTTGTATACATTTATGTACTTGCATATACTGATGTAGTGGTTTGATGAATACCACTTTGACACTGGCTACATCACAGTTGATGTATGTACATGACCTTGTATACATTTATGTACTAGCATATACTTATGTAGTGGTTTGATGAATACCACTTTGACACTGGCTATATCACAGTTGATGTTTGTACATGACCTTGTATACATTTATGTACTAGCATATACTTATGTAGTGGTTTGATGAATACCACTTTGACACTGGGTATATCACAGCTGATGTATGTACATGACCTTGTATACATTTATGTACTTGCATATACTTATGTAGTGGTTTGATGAATACCACTTTAACAATGGCTATATCACAGTTGATCTATGTACATGTATACATTTATGTACTTGCATATACTTATGTAGTGGTTTGATGAATACCACTTTGACACTGGCTACATCACAGTTGATGTATGTACATGACCTTGTATACATTTATGTACTAGCATATACTTATGTAGTGGTTTGATGAATACCACTTTGACACTGGGTATATCACAGCTGATGTATGTACATGACCTTGTATACATTTATGTACTTGCATATACTTATGTAGTGGTTTGATGAATACCACTTTAACAATGGCTATATCACAGTTGATCTATGTACATGTATACATTTATGTACTTGCATATACTTATGTAGTGGTTTGATGAATACCACTTTGACACTGGCTACATCACAGTTGATGTATGTACATGACCTTGTATACATTTATGTACTAGCATATACTTATGTAGTGGTTTGATGAATACCACTTTGACACTGGGTATATCACAGCTGATGTATGTACATGACCTTGTATACATTTATGTACTAGCATATACTTATGTAGTGGTTTGATGAATACCACTTTGACACTGGCTACATCACAGTTGATGTATGTACATGACCTTGTATACATTTATGTACTAGCATATACTTATGTAGTGGTTTGATGAATACCACTTTGACACTGGGTATATCACAGTTGATGTTTGTACATGACCTTGTATACATTTATGTACTTGCATATACTTATGTAGTGGTTTGATGAATACCACTTTAACAATGGCTATATCACAGTTGATCTATGTACATGTATACATTTATGTACTTGCATATACTTATGTAGTGGTTTGATGAATACCACTTTGACACTGGCTACATCACAGTTGATGTATGTACATGACCTTGTATACATTTATGTACTAGCATATACTTATGTAGTGGTTTGATGAATACCACTTTGACACTGGGTATATCACAGCTGATGTATGTACATGACCTTGTATACATTTATGTACTAGCATATACTTATGTAGTGGTTTGATGAATACCACTTTGACACTGGCTACATCACAGTTGATGTATGTACATGACCTTGTATACATTTATGTACTAGCATATACTTATGTAGTGGTTTGATGAATACCACTTTGACACTGGGTATATCACAGTTGATGTTTGTACATGACCTTGTATACATTTATGTACTTGCATATACTTATGTAGTGGTTTGATGAACACCACTTTGACACTGGCTACATCACAGTTGATGTTTGTACATGACCTTGTATACATTTATGTACTAGCATATACTTATGTAGTGGTTTGATGAATACCACTTTGACACTGGCTATATCACAGTTGATGTATGTACATGACCTTGTATACATTTATGTACTAGCATATACTTATGTAGTGGTTTGATGAATACCACTTTGACACTGGGTATATCACAGTTGATGTATGTACATGACCTTGTATACATTTATGTACTAGCATATACTTATGTAGTGGTTTGATGAATACCACTTTGACACTGGGTATATCACAGTTGATGTTTGTACATGACCTTGTATACATTTATGTACTTGCATATACTTATGTAGTGGTTTGATGAATACCACTTTGACACTGGCTATATCACAGATGAAGTATGTACATGTACAGGTGCTTGGGTAAAAAACACATACCATGTACATGTATGGAGGGACGCCCTGATTAGTGTTGCCACACAGTTAATGATGATAACAATATGAAGTGCATTACACGTACTCCTACAAAACTGATTATTATATACGCATTTCCATTGAAACATATACTTCAATTCCCTAATTCCTATGTTACTTAAATTAAAATAAACTATAACATATGGATCTTTCTCTGTGTAACATATGCCAAGTTTCATTGATATAACCGTAGAACATGTACATTCAAACACTTCTACACACACTGTACAGGGTATTACAATCAGACAGACAGTCAGTTAGACAGCTAATTATCTTGTGTAAGTTCATGATTAATGTGTTATGTACCGTACATCAATTGTTGTCAGTGCATCCAAGTAGTTTTCTACACCTTGACATACCCTTTTCACTGTATGTTTGGATCATGTGCGCTAACATTTTGTTATAACTGATGACAGCTACCTGTATCATTAGGCAAATACATCTTTCAAGTTTTTCCATATTTTGCTGTGTGGTATGCTACCAGGGGCCGTATTCATAAAAGAACTTAAGTCTGAAAAAAAACTTAAGTCTTGAAAAAAACTAAGTTTTTCACCTTTTCTGACTTAAGTTTTAAGATTTTACTTAAGTCATATTCATGAAGCAACTTAGGCTTAAGTTTTACCAATTTCTGACTTAAATCTTAAGACTGGTAGGGGTAGGCTTAACTACAAGGTGTTTGACTTAAGTCAGTAAACAAAATGGCTGCCATACCGCTATGTCGTCGTTCGTTTCATCAAAGAAGACAAAGTCTTGTTGAATACAATGATGAGGAGTTGATACGGCGATACCAATTAGATGGAAATGGTATTAGGTATGTAGCTTATTTAATAGCAGCTGACGTGGAGCCTGCAACCAACCGAAACCACGCACTTGACGAGATACGAAAGACGCTGATCACATTAAGGTACTTTGCAACGGGAAAGTTTCAGTTGTGTAATGCAGATGATCAAGGTGTCACCCAGCCCACCATTTCCAGAGTTGTAAATCAGTGCATCACCAGTTTGTCATCTGACAGGATTGTGAAACAGTTTGTCCGCTTCCCCCTGCAACTCGGGGACATTAGGAGTCACCAAACCAACTTTTATCACATTGCGAACTTTCCCGGAATTGTCGGGGTGATCGATGGAACCCACGTACAAATCCAGGCACCAACAGTAAACGAAAATGAATACGTAAACCGACATCATTATCACAGTATAAATACGCAGATCGCTTTTGAC